TTTTACAAACATATAATATGGTGAATATATCGAGTTTGAGGATTCACCTCAAGCCTTTGGAGCTCGTAGGTCGTAGCGTAGGGGAATCCCTGATCGACATTCATTTTGCTGTAAAAGCATTTTGTGATATTAGAGGGCTAATTCAGAATGATCTTGCATTGTCCTCACTTGACGACAAAGAAAAATCCGAATTGTTGGAGTTTGTTGACAAAAGAGAAAAATTTGCTATTAAACCCATTCATTATGCTGCAGAATTACTAAATCCAAAATCACAAGGTTCTGAACTTGATGAAACCCAAATTCTTTCTATAGAATGCATACTTAATATATCAAAAAATAAACTCAATATAAAGGAGCAAGAAATAATAGATGAAATAGTAGATTACCGTTGTAGAAGTGGCAAGTTATTTGAAAATAAGTTCATATGGAAAAGTAGTTTTGATAACCCAGTCTCCTGGTGGAAAGGACTGTATTCTTCATCTTCATTATCACAAGTAGCTTCACGAATTTTGATGTTGCCAGTATCTTCGGCTGCCACGGAACGCAGTTTTAGCGTTTATAGTCATATTCATTCAAAAAAGAGAAACAGGCTTACTAATGATAGAGCCGCTAAGCTACTCTACGTATCCCACAATGAAAAATTGCTGAAGAAAATAGGAAACGGCAATAGATCAATTTTTATTTCCGATACTATTGAAGATTTTGAGGAAGTAGACTGGCAAGAAAACGTTATTAGCTTTTTTCGTTTTCCTGTTATTACCGATTCTGAACCGTCCTAGAACTGTGATGCGTATGCGCAGAAGGAAATATGAAGACATTATTTCATTTGCGCATGCGCTGCAGAGTTCTAGGACGGTTCAGAATCGGTAATAACAGGAAAACGAAAAAAGCTATTGAGTGTGATGCTGATGACAGCGATAAAGACATGCCTCTTGCTCGACTAGTGTGTTAAAAATATTTTTTTTGTACAAATTTAACCTTAATTTATTTTTTAATTTGGAGAATAACTCATTTCGTGTTTTGCGATGTTTTGTTATGATTTTTATAAATAAATATTTCAGTTTTTCTTATTTTTTAAAATATTTCATATATTTCCATATATTTCCAATGTTTCAGGAAATGTTTCCGAAAATATATTTCTGGAAATTTTACATCACTAAACTCTACTCTATCGTTGACTCACCCTGTACAGGGTGGCTCGAATTCGACGCTCATCATTGGGATTTCGGAAACCGTAAGAGATACAGGAAAAAGATACGGTTAAATGGAGGCAATGTTGCGCAATTTGATGCTCAATAAAATGCCGTATTGCATTTTTATTTTTTATTTTTTTTTTTCATAAAATATTCTGGTGATGGAATTTTCTGTACGAAACGTCGGCAAATATTAAAGTGACTATATATAGTGTTTTAAAAGTGATGAAAGGATTTAATTAAGCCGAAACGTCAGAGTCAATATTTAATCACACAGAGCTATAGAGCAGAAAAACTGGCCATGAAAATGTGTTTTTCATTTTAAGTTATCTTATCAAATAAAGCCGGGAAACAATAAAAAACAAAATTGAAAATTCCGGGTTTTTTATCGAATATATTCGGAAATATTCGGAATTTTTCAAAATGCAATACGGCATTTTATTCAGCATCAAATTGCGCAACTTTGTCTCCCTTTAACCGATCCTGTATCTCTTACGGTTTCCGAAATCCCAATGATGAGCCTCGAATTCGAGCCACCCTGTACACTGAAAACACTCAAGTTTAAATAATTTTTACTGGGTGTTCATCAAAGTGTATTTCTATAAAAAAACTACAGGAAAAAATATGATCAAGAATATTTTTTACGTTAAGTTTAATCAGATATTCTGCGAAATTTCAAAACAAATCTAAAAAAACTTTCTTTCAAATGATTTTTCTAGATCTAGATCAAACCAACAGGTTTCTTACGTGTGTTCTGTGCTCTTTATGAAATCTTGTTTGCCATAAAACAAGAAACATTGTCACCAAACCTGTAGGTATAATATGTAGCACCATAAAGCATGTGATGGACAGTGCCAATATTACAAAGTAATCCACAATTCTAATGTACCGCCATATGGGAGAACCGTTCATTTTTATTGAGCATCTATTAGTACCGGTGATATTTATGATCTGTCTTCGAGCAGAACCGTTTACTGTCAATATTTTTTCTAGTAGTACGCAGAAAAATACACGATATAAATATACATAACTGATTAACAGCCTAGTACTAATTTAAACTGACATAAATACAGAGTTTAAGAAGGAATACGAATATAAAAGAGCGTCAGAGTAACCGTAGAAAAATTGTTTTGTTCGGTTCAAAAGAAATTTGTAATATATGTTTGTGTAATATTCTATTTTAAGTAGTGTGATTTATATCTGCTCAAGATTGTTGTTAATACAGTATATAATTGAAAAAAAAACAGCGTCAAAAAGGGTGGAAAATGACAATCGATGTAAATTCTGGCTAGGTCAAAACCTAGACGTAGAAAATGATTTTTGATGACGGTTTAGTTTAAAATTAAAGAAAAAATATTTTTTTCCATACTAACTGTTAAAATTGTCTTATATCTATCAAAAATAGTAGATATAGTCTGTAAAACGAATAACTTTGAATTTGACAGTTCCCGCGGGCTTTTCTGGTGTTAATTTTATTAGGTTAGCAACTTGCGGCCATGCTGACGCAATGCCCTCTCTAATAGAACAGCCTTCCAACGAGATTTATGACGTCACACTAGTTAGATACTACAAATTAATAACTATGTTGCAGAATACATGGAAAACATAATTATTCCTCGATTTGTTGGTTTGTATTTTAAAAATGATATAGTTTACATGAAATATATATAATATAGAGTTAATAAATACAATATATATACCTATTTATATTAATAAATACTTTAGCAGATAAACTATGAACCATACAAATGCAGCAAATGTTTTACAATATGACTGAAATCGTACTCCATAGTCAATGTAGATAGTTTTTGTGTTAAGAATAATAATTTTAAAAAATATGTGGTCATCTTTTGACAAGTTTATATTAGTTTATTAATTGCAGTAAACATTATAATATATAAATAAATTTTGTGAATGCAAATAATAATACATCACTATTAGTAGATATTGAATGTTTTTTTGTTAAATTAGATCGATTTTCGAACCCCAAAATTTAAAATATATTTTACATTTTAACCATTATCTTATGTACCACCTATTCATTATTTGTATATTGTAAAACATTTGCTGCATTTGTATGGTTCATGTTTATTAGCCAAAGTATTTATTACAATAAATAGGTATATATTATATTGTATTTATGAACTGTATATTATGTATATTTCATGTAAACTATATCATTTTTAAAATACAAACCAAAAATACGAGGAATAATTATGTTTCCATGTATTCTCCAACATATTTATTAATCCGTATTATCTAACTAGCGTGACGTAATAAATCTCGCTCCGTGGCTGTTCTAATAGAGACGGCATTGGTCTAATATTTAGAAAAAAGCTTATGACATTTTACTTTTGTCAATTATGACATTTCGTGTTGATTTTTGCAAGAAGAGGAAGAATTGTCACTTGTTTTATTATTTTCCTTTTCTATTTCACGAAAGTAAAAAGAGTTACCTATCTGATTCGTTCAGGCTAGTTCAGGCACTCAATTTAAAGAATATCAGTAACTTTTTTGATAGAGGGATTTTATATTTGCCATGTTGGTAAAAAATAACTGTCAAAATTCAAAGTTATTCATTTTATAGACTATAAAATAGTACTTTAACCACAAGGGTAGATTAAATGACACTTTAACAGCCAGGATAGGTTAAAAACTTTATTTCTTCTTGCACGTCTTTTAATTGCTTCCATTTTTGAAAATTTTTGTATTTCTTTTCATAAGTTATTCGGGATTTAAATGGAAGTAGTTTGGATATGGCGTTTGTCGCCTCAGCCTGAATATATTAGAGAATTAAAAAATATTGACTCAAAACTGACAACTAAAGAGACAGCTTTATTTATTTGTCAAATTACATCGAAACCAACGCCAATCCAGCACAATATTTTTTTCTACTCGTACTATATTCCTTGAAATAATAATTTCTGAATATTTTTTAAAACGTAACTCGCTATGGAAAAAAATAATGTTTTATCCTCCTGTATAAAAAATAACTATTTTATGGAAATATATTTATGGTTGGAAACGTTCTATTCTTTTTTAATCTTTCTATAATTAGTGTTAAGCTGTATGTCAATTTTTAGAGATTGACCTCGACAAAATTATCATCGATTGTCATTACCAACCCGTCTTTGACCCCTTTTTTTCGATCACAGGGTATTTTAAACATATAGTGTGATTTCTTCGTGGTTTATATCTGCTTCACACCAGTGTTACTAATTCAAAATAATTCTGCAACTTTTGGAGTCACTAGAAGCTGTCAAAAACAAGGTTTGTAAATGTCAAAATAAATGAATTTTCTTTTAATGATGATGTACATGTTGATACAATGATGTTGATGATGTTGTAAGTAAGAAATGGAATGGGTATGGCGTTTTTTAGTCCTGATTGTGATAGTAATAATTGAGCATGGTACGTTTATGAAAAGAAATATACAGTAATTTTTCGAAACACCCTGTATTCCCAACCGTCCCGGTTTAGCCGGGATTAACCAGGAATCAGAAAGTTTGTCCCGGCGAAAGTTTTGCCTTGGCCGGGACCTGGAAACTGAAAAAATGTGTACTACACACATAATTTATTTTATTTTCTAATATTTAATGTCTTGTTTCAATTATTTAAAAGTTTAAAAATAATTGTCTCGGAATCGCCGATGCTCAAGTTGGGAACCCTACCTGTATATTATAATAGAAATAAGTTTAGAAATTTCATATGCGTACCATACAGTGAACACAAAACACATACACAACACAAAAATACGTCAACATATAGTGTTTTCTACAGTTTATGATGATGTCTATGATAACATACCTTCCGAGGACTTCCTGGCTTCGACAGCTGTCACATTGCTGTCACTGTCGTCATCTTCGTCGTCTTCTTCGTCATCTGATTCCCTGGCTGTTTTCATGAAGCCTCCTAAACCGTCTTGGAACATGGCAGAGACTTCCTTCATCAATTTGCCTATGATGCTGGCCAAATATGATGGCTTGCTTTCTGGGTCCGATCTTCCTGAAGATTGTAGAGCTTCAGCGTCAGCTTCAGCTGAAAGAAAATTAAAACAGCTTTGTAATGAATTAAATATTAATTAAATATCAATAAAATGAACATCGATGATATTCCCCATATGATATAATATGATATATACTAATATATAAAATCCTTAAGTGACTGACTCACTGATTAATCACGATCTTGCTCAAACCACTCAACGTAAGAAGCTCAATTTTGGCGTACAGGTTGATTCTAGGGTGTAGAGGTTCGATAAGAAGGGATTTTTCGAAATTCCGGTTCCAAGGGGGTGAAACCACCCCTCAAATATTACAATAATTTTTATTTAAAAAACGGTCAAGTTTCCGAAAAAACGCTTAAACACGTATATTTTATTTTGTTTTTTTACATATTTTAAGATTTTTTAAAAATGTATACAGGGTGTTTCGAAAAATCTGATCAATGATTAATCACGATCCTGCTTAAAGCGTTTGACGTAAAAAGCTGAGTTTTGGAAAACGGATTAACTTTAGGGTGTAGAGGTTCGATAAGAAGGGATTTTTCGAAACTCGAATTCTAAGGGGGTGAAACAACCCCTCAAATATTAGAATATTTTTTATTTAAAAACCGGTGAGTTTTTCGGAAAAACTCTTAAACACGTATATTTTATTTTGTTGTTTTACATATTTCAAGATTTTTTATAAATTTATACAGGGTATTTTATAAAATATGACCATTGAGTAATCACGATTCTGCTTAAACTGCTAGACGTTTAAAGCTGATTTTTGGCAAACGGATTAACTGTGGGGTGTAGAGGTTCGATAAGGAGGTGTTTCTGGAATCTCAAATTCCAAGAGGGTGAAAACGCCCCTCAAATATTACAATATCTGTTATTTAAAAAACGGTTAGTCTTTCGGGAAAACGCTTGGACAAGCATAATTTATTTGTTTTTTTTTACATATTTTAAATTTTTTTTAAAATCATACAGGGTGTTTCAAAAAGTTGGGTAATTCATTAACCACGGTTCTGCTTAGACTGCTTGACGTAAAAAGCTTATTTTTGGCAAACGGATTTTTCGAATGTCAAATTCCTACCCCTCAAATATTACCAAGTTATATAAGTTAATATCGCCATATTGTTTTTTCTCATGCTGACATAAATGTGAGAAAATTTTGTCCAGTTTGTATGTTAATGGAAATTCTTGTTTTGCATCGAATTAATCATTTGTAATGGTGATGATAAACACCATTACAAATGATTAATTCAACGCGAACGAAGTCGTCGCGGGTACATTTCATAGCCATCGCTGACGCTGTTTTTTTTTCGATCATATTGTATATACTCGTAAAGCTTGTGGGCTACTAAAATTGACTACCCACTTTAAAAAATCTTACATTTTTATTGCTACGAACATCTACCAAGCCTTTGTCCCACTTTTTCTCATTTTTTTGTCCCAAAAAAACTTAAGCATTATTCATTTCTATCGTGTTTGGTCCACTGTGGGTGTTACAGAATGACTACTGGCCAAAAATACTTCATTATCTTTAACTTTATTACTACAATAATACATTTTTATGACATTTTATAGTTTATTTTCGCATTTAACTACTGAAAAAAATTTCTATTTGACTTTTCTCATTGTTATAGTGTGTGTTAAACCTTCACAGGCCGCTGTCGGGTGACCTCTTGCATTCTTACAGTACCCTAGTCTACTTATTTGTTTGTTTTGCGGTAGAAAATCTGCTAAACCGCTAACTTCAGGCGTATATTGAATTAACAGGACACAGGCTGAATAATGTAAATCTTTAATTTCAACAAATTCGGTGTTTGAGTTGGTAAATAAAGGTGATCGTATACGACGCGACGTGTAGTACGGCAAGTTGTGTGATCAGTTGGAAACAGTAAATAGAAAAGATGCTGTATTTATATGGGAAAGTTAAATTTAAATTAGTAGTTCTACCTATAAGTTTATTTATGTTATTACGATGTCCGTAAATTATAGAGCTGCAGATTTTCTAGAGAAATAATTAGTATGTTTACATGAGTTGCACGACCGTAAGGAGCTATAAAATAAAATGCCGTTATGTTTGCTAATAAAAATAAATGACATATTTGTTTAATTGCCATTTGCCATACTACAGAACCTCACTAAAAATCGTCAGAAAATGTCTTTTATACTCCTTTACACTCAGGAATTTTTAAGTAGTGGAACAATTTGAAAAAAATTAAAAACTCATTTTTTTTTAAAATCTTCTGTTTTAACTAGCTCATATTTTTGTTTGGTTTAAAAAGGTGCGTTAGAAAATAGATTTTCGTTAAAAATACATTCTTCCCAGAAATAAACATAAAAATTATTAAAAAAACGAGTCCGTGAAGATTTTAGAAGAAAAAGATTTTAGAAAAAATGAGTTTCAATGTTTTTCATACTGTTCGACCCCTTCAAAAAATTCTAAAAAATTCGTGAGTGTAAAGGAGTATAAAAGACATTTTCTGGCGATTTGTATTGAGTGACATATTTCACAAAGGAAGATTTTATTTTTTTTTTCTCCTCTAAAAATCGGCTTTACGAATTAGAGGTGATATATTTATATACAGTGTGCTAAAAAAATCAAGGATATAGGGCTAAAAAAATAAAAAAAACATAACATTTTGAAAACTTGACCAAAAAAAAAGAAGTAGATTAGTCTCAAATATTATAGAAAACCACACTTATTTCATTTCCATGCAATCAAGGCGGTTAAACATCATCTCTCAGTTATTTAATTCACTTTCCCATCCTCCATTTTGCTCTACTAGGTCAAGGTAACGATTTCTTTGCTTCTTCGTGCGATCTGATATCAAGCGGTCTCATTCTGATCATGATTTAACTACTTAATTTTAATTAAACAACTTTTGACTATAGCTTTGGTATTTTTTATATGTATTTAACGATATATTAAACACATAAAATGACATGAACTAATACATTTAAATCCCTTAAAAAAGAATTTGTTATAAAAAAAATTGTTGGACTTTCTCCAAAATCATCAGTTGTATTTTACGTCATTATAAATAAGGATGATACGTTTTTTTAGCTGTCGAATAATTTTCCTGTTCTTGATTTAGGCCTCTGTAACCGGTTTAATAAAGTATGTCTCACTTTTACCGTCTTATTTTTATACAGGGTGTCCAAAATTCCTCGGGCATAGAATTGCTAAACCATGGACATATTCGCCGCCGAGCTGGCTAACTGGAATTTAATTTTTTTCGCGCTGGGGATTCAGGTGGTAGCTCTGCTGTAAAAAATGTCAATGTGCCACATTTATTTATTTATTTCCTGTCACTGTCATTCGTTTTGACACTTTAGTTTGGTATAACGAGTTTTTGGTTTAAATAAATAATGTTGTTCTTTTTAGAACCTGCTTTAGTGCGAAGTGTACAGAACAGCTTAATAGCCGTTGTAAAAAACTCATCGCAACTTTTAAACGTATATACGTGGTAGTTCTATGTCCACAAAAATCAGGACACCCTGTATTATACTCTCGTAAAATTTATACAAATACACAGTATATCTTTTTAGAAAGATTGCCCAACGATCTGAAGACAATTAGGATGATTCTAGGTCTTTTTTAACGCTCTGTACATCAGCATGTCTAATTGGTTGTAACAATTAAGCTTTTTGTAGATAGTGTCAAGCATCTGGAACTTCGTATTATAGCATATGACCAGTAAGAGGTAATTTAAAATATATCTGAACATATAAAAATAAAATAGAAATATTGTATCAGTTATTATAGTTATAATACCATAACGTTGTTCTTTTTAGAACCTTTTTTAGTGCGAAGTGTACAAGACAGCTTAATAGCCGTTGTATATATGTGGTAGTTCTATGTCCACAAAAATCAGGACACCCTGTATTATACTCTCGTAAAATTTATACAAATACACAGTATATCTTTTTAGAAAGATTGCCCAACGATCTGAAGACAATTAGGATGATTCTAGGTCTTTTTTAACGCTCTGTACATCAGCATGTCTAATTGGTTGTAACAATTAAGCTTTTTGTAGATAGTGTCAAGCATCTGGAACTTCGTATTATAGCATATGACCAGTAAGAGGTAATTTAAAATATATCTGAACATATAAAAATAAAATAGAAATATTGTATCAGTTATTATAGTTATAATACCATAACGTTGTTCTTTTTAGAACCTCTTTTAGTGCGAAGTGTACAGATAACTTAATAGCCGTTGCAAAAAACTCATCGCGACTTTATTAGAATATTTTGAACGGGAAAGGGGTAATAATGGTCCTTTATGTCCCTTAAGTGATGTTAAGGAGGTGAGTTTTGTTGATGTAAATAATAACTGTTTATATATTTATAACTAATTTTTTTTTATAGTTGTATATGATATACAAATGATTTAGAAAAAAAAATCTATTATAGGGTACTTGGGTATACTATTCAAAACCAAGTCTTAATTTGTGATTTAGTCAGGCTTATTCTAAATTTCTAATCCTGACCTAACCTCTATTATTTTAGCTTGAATATTTTTGAATATTTAAATGTAGAATTCAGTGCCAAAAAGATTGTTTTTTATCGTTTTTTTAACCTAAATTAACATCTGTTTTTTGAAGGAAATTTCCGAAATATTCCTGATAAAAAATAGTTACAATAGATTAATGTATACCTAGCTTAAATTCATTCAGTAAAATATATAAATGATTGTAATGTGTAAAATTATTTATCTGTAAATGACTAAGTAGTAATTAATTTAAATATATTATATGTCTGTGTGTGTCTAGCAAGAAATCCCCTCAAGCTGTAGGTGAAATTCGTTTTTGTCGTTAGGAAAAATTCCAAAAATTAAAATTAATGATTTTTCTCGAAATCCTACTTTTTTTTATTTGATCTATGACATCCTCTTTTCTATCAAGCCTTCTACGACAGTATTTTAATTTATTTTGAATTGATTGGTGACATAGAATGCTATGTTAATATTTATTTTCAATGCAGATTATATTAAAAAAGGTAGGTATATTCTCAGTAAGTTTAAAATAATGATTTTTTTTTCAAACATCGCAAAAGTATTAAGTTTCGCGACATGATTGACAATATAAAATATAATATGCCTTATATCTATCAAAAATAGTAGATAAAATAGTACTTCAACCACCAGGGTACATTAAATGATACTTTAACAGCGAGGATAGGTTAAAAACTTTATTCCTTCTCGCACGTTTTTTAATTGCTTCCATTTTTGAAACTTTTTGTATTTCTTTTCATAAGTTATTCGGGATTTAAATGGAAGTAGACACGAAAGAGAATTAAAAAATATTGACTCAAAACTGACAACTAAAGAGACAGCCATGAGACAGCTTTATTTATTTGTCAAATTCTTTGAATGTCAAATTACAAAGAAACCAACGCCAACCCGGCACAATATTTTTTACTACTCGTAATAAATTCCTTGAAATAATAATTTCTGAATATTTTTTAAAACGTAACTCGCTAGGGAAAAAAATATTGTTTTATACGACGATAAAATAGCATTATCGTCTCCCGAAATTGTGAATTAATCTTTTCAGTTGACGATAAAATACTATTTTATCGTCTTGTATAAAAAATAACTATTAACGCCTAGGCATAAAAGTAAAGCACTTTAACGCCTAAGCATAAAAGTACGAAATCATATATGTATATAATATCATTAAACTAACATAAAGTGTCAAATTCAACGAGCGTAACCATAGTTTCTCGATATATAATTACATATAACTTTTAAATCTTTTTATATTATTTGGAACGTTTGAAGTTGTTTAAAAAATTATTTGTGGCGTTTGAAAAAAAAATGGCATGTTCTGTTCGGAGTAAAAATAACTGATTTTGTCAAGAAAAATATTTTTAGCATTTTTCTTTCGCAAAATTTTCTTTCATGAGCGTGTTTCTGGGGTTCAACTATAGTTAAAATACTCGCACTTATTTCTGGGATACCCCGTATTGTTCCTATTTCAATCTCACACATATGAGGTTGATAATATATTGGGAGAAATTACTAGAAATATGTTTGCGTAAATAATTCTTTCTGTCAACAGTATTATTAGCAGATGAATCCTTTTTTAACACTACTCAACCTAACGGTATGAATTCGAACTATTTAAGAGTAGGTCAAAAATAATCTTGTTCCCACACCCAAAAAAAGCTGTTAGATTTTTTAAAGCTCCTATATTAATTTACGTAAAAAAGTCGTTTTAATCCATTATTTTTTTATGTAAATATCATAGTTTATATGCGAGATGTATATGGCGATATTAGGAACTTTGAGTTTAACTGAACTCTTTGATTCAACAAGTGATTTTTAACGAATATACAGGGTGTCCCAGAAATAAGTATAGATATTTTAAGGGGTGGTAGATCTCGATAAAAAAAACATATTTTCTCTTTACCGTTTTTCGAATAAGTCCAAAATAACAGAGTTATTTTTCTTTGAAAATTAAAAAAAATATATTTTTGCTTAAATTTTGAGAAATCTTTTCTGGGTCTCCTTACCTATGTTGCCATGTTATCAAGAAATAATGTTTTTTAACTAAAAAAATTCCAACAATTTTTTTGGTGTTTCTGGGGTCGAAATACACAACCAGTTAAAATATCTGTACTTATTTCTGGGACACCCTGTATATATTTTTTTCAGTCTTTTCTATGTCACTCTAAAGGTTTTATAAAAATTAAAAGTTAATTTTTTAAATTACAGTAAAATACAATACGATCGAAAAAAATCGTCGCCAGAGATGGCGTGGAAATAAAGATCGCTGTCATTTTTTATGTAAATTTATATGGGGAATGTCATCGATAGAGTCATTTCCACACCAACTGGACGCAGTTTTTTTTCTTTTATACGGTATAGCGTAAGAAGAACTACAATACTAAAACTAGAATATAAAAAAATATATTAATAGTGTCTTAAAATTATTGTTTTCTTTCCTTCAGATTTTATCTATTTTTTTTTTATTTTTTTTTGCAAGTTACTATAATAAGATATAGTAGAGCGCGGACCAAGTTGCCATGTAAATGACGTCAAGGGCTTGACCTCGCCAAAATTGTTATCGTTGTCTTTTCCCAGCCGTCTTTGACGCCGTTTTTTTTTTTCGATCATATGGTGTACTATATCATAAGGTACTATTTTCACAAGTCACAAATTTATATATTTCTAAGTATCAGAATTAACAAAAAAAATGGGTTTTCAAAAATCTTAAGTAGGTTTTTTAAAAACCTTCAAAACATCAGAATTAAATGAAATTTCATTCAATAAATCTACCAATTTCTCTTCCTTAAAACCAGATTATAGATGTTAAATCGTACTGATATGAATAAATTAATCCCTGAGTGGGTCATCGAGATGGTCAAGAAAAATGAAACACAATAATTTGGTACCGGATGGTATAAAAAAGGAAGGACCGAGATTAATAAAAAGTGAGTTTAAAGAAAGAATAGAGTACTTAAAAGAAACAGAAATTTTATATTTGTATCATGTTGATAATGTCTGAAATGTTAATACAATTTTGCTCTTTAATTTTGTATTAAATACATAATAAGATACGTTTATACAGGGTCTTGAAAATAAGTTTTCGTCACTGGAAGATAAATCTACAAAATAAAAAAGTTCACAACTTTGGAATTATGAGAACTTTATATACAACTATTTCCCAAACCAATGAATTTGGACCAATATGGACCCATACGATGGCCTCCCAGATCCCCAAATTTTTCCGTTCTCGATTTTTGTATTTAGGGATTTTTTTGTAAAATGAAATATATCGGGGCAACTACAGCAATATCGGAGACTTGGGAATTGCTATCAGGCAAGCTTATAGATACTTGCAAACTCATCCCTTTATAATTAATCCAGTTAAACATAAAAAAACTATATTCAGAGATTCAGTGGTAACAGTTTAAAATAAAATTTTAATGTGTATGAATATTTTAGTAAATACCAATTTATTACTATCAACAGCTCAAAGCAAGCCGGATCATATGATTTATAAATATACAAGGTGTTCCTGTTCCGTTTGAGAAAACATTACTTTAATTCATGTCTTCAAAAATATTTTTTTCTATTTCAACCAAAATGGGACACACTGTACTTTAGTAGATCTTGTTAGTTCCTAGAGTAACATTATTTCACAAAGGTTAAAAAAATGAAGATTTTAATCTTCTTTCCTCCGCTAAAAATCGGCTTTTCGTTTAAGAATCGTGATCATATAATTTTTTCATGTCTCATCAGACTTGAAAGAATTAGAAAAAAATTATCATTAATTAATTTTGAATTTTACTATATAAAAATAAAAATAGAATTGAAAAAACAGATTTTTTTGAAAATCTCGAAAACCGTTTGGGTTAACTAAAAACTAAAAATTTAGGTGAATTATTTTGATCACACATGTGATTGAGACTATCTAAAACAACCCTGTGGGGTATTAAAATGCCCCCTGTAAAGTTTTTTTTTAGCTTACCCAACAATTCCGTTTTCTGCATTTCCAAGTAGTCTTCGGCCACATTCAAAAAACATGAAAAGTCGTACTTTACAGCGCATCCGATCATCCCGATGTAACTTCTCATCTCCCTGCCCTTGCTCGATTGAAGATTCTTCTTAAAAATCGTATCCGAGGTACTGTTCACGTCCGCAGTACCGGAACAACTCGATAACGTAACCGATACCATAAAAAACAATATCAAAAAGTTCCTTAGAGTATCCATCGTGATTTTAAGTCTTTTTTTTTTTGATGCGCGAAAACTTCACTCTAAAAACAAGTACCGCGAAGTACTTCTTCTTTGCTCTGCGCTCGTACGAGATCTGAGGAATCCCAGACGCTGGTACGTGATATTTATAAGGTTGAGAGAGAGATTGAAGAAATTGAAGATCAGTGTGTTACTTTGCGGAAATGTGGAACAGGCTTCGGTCGTACCGGTCTTGTTTACTAGTCTCGCTGTGTATATATCGCTTTTTTATTTTTCGGCAGGCGTTGAAATGGAAATTTGTGGTTTTCATTCGCGTCTGGTGGTACCGGAATACCGGTATGATCAAACACATCTCTAACTGCACAGAGAGGCGCTGTTATCTATACTAATATATAAAATCCTTAAGTGACTGACATACTGATTAATCACGATCCTGCTCAAACCACTCAACGTAAGAAGCTCAATTTTGGCATACAGTTTGATTCTAGGGTGTAGAGGTTCGATAAGAAGGGATTTTTCGAAATTCCAGTTCCAAGGGGATGAAACCACCCCCCAAATATTACAATATTTTTTATTTAAAAAACGGTCAAGTTTCCGAAAAAACGCTTAAACACGTATACTTTATTTTGTTTTTTTTACATATTTTAAGATTTTTTAAAAATGTAGACAGGGTGTTTCGAAAAATCTGGTCATTGATTAATCACGATCCTGCTTAAAGCGCTTAACGTAAAAAGCTGATTTTTGGAAAACGGATTGACTTTAGGGTGTAGAGGTTCGATAAGAAGGGATTTTTCGAAACTCGAATTCTAAAGGGGTGAAACAACCCCCCAAATATTCGAATATTTTTTATTTAAAAACCGGTGAGTTTTTTCGGAAAAACTCTTAAACACGTATATTTTATTTTGTTGTTTTACATATTTTAAGATTTTTTATAAATTTATACAGGGTGTTTCGTAAAATATGACCATTGAGTAATCACGATTCTGCTTAAACTGCTTGACGTTTAAAGCTGGTTTTTGGCAAACGGACTGCCTGTGGGGTGTAGAGGTTCGATAAGGAGAGGTTTCTCGAATCTCAAATTCCAAGATGGTGAAAACGCCCCTCAAATATTACAATATTTGTTTTTTAAAAAACGGTTAGTCTCTCGGGAAAACGCTTGGACACGCATAATTTATTTTGTTTTTTACATATTTCGAAATTTTTTAAAAAATCATACAGGGTGTTTTAAAAAGTTGGGTGATTGATTCTGCTTAAACTGCTTGACGTAAAAAGCTCATTTTCGGCAAACGGTTTTTTCGAAAGTCAAATTCCAACGAGATGAAACTACCCCTCAAATATTACCAAGTTATATAATAATATCGCCATATTGTTTTTTCTCATCCTGACATAAATGTGAGAAAATTTTATCCAGTTTGTATGTTAATGGAAATTCTTGCTTTGCTTTATCATCACCATTGCGAACTAAGTCGCGGGTACAGGCTAGTAATTAATAAAAGTATTTTAGCATTAATATTTATAAAAAACTAAGATACTAAAAAAATGTATCTAAATACGAGATACAAGATGAAATAAAGAAAGTATTTCAAAAATAAGATGAAAATATATATTTTGTATCTTATATCCGTATTTCAAATACTTTTGTTTCTCTGAAATAATAAGTCACATTTCTTCTTATAATATCGATATGTCTACACATTCCTTTACTCTATAACGACAAATCTATCCATCCTATATATTTTCTACATATTAATCTGGAGAATCCTATCAGAAAGTGTCATTATTTTACACATAAATAATTTTTACGTGTTTTGCAGATTTATCTTTACCTACACAATGACATTTTTGACTGGGTATTTTAAATTATCGACGGTAAATTATACAGTCGTGGATATTTTTGTCGTTTATTAATTATTCCCGAGATTCGTGACTATCAATTGGCGAGATTTTTCGAAAAATAAACTTTGTAGAACGTAAAGGGTAAAGAGAATGACCCAGTGTCCTTCATATTGGTCTCCAAACAACCTTAGCTCTCTAAAAATAGATAATATCTATTATAATATTTATTATACTTCATTTGCACCCTTGTATAAACTCTTAGTAAACCTTCAAAATTGAAGTTTTATTTATTAATATATGATTATTTTCAGAAAAAAAGCCACTTAAAAATAGTATATATTTCTTCTATTTATGAGTTTTATTTGCTACTAGCGTGTACCCGCGACTTCGTTCGCGTCGAATTAATCATTTGTAATGGTGCTGATAAAGCACAGCAAGAATTCCACTTCTTACGTTGAGTGGTTTGAGCAGGATCAAAAAAGCCACTTAAAAAAAGTATATATTTCTTCTATTTGTGAGTTTTATTGCTATTATTATGAGTCTGTGTTTATGTCACATGTTACCGTAGGTATGATCCAAAAAAAACGGCGTCCAGTTGGCTTGGAAATGGACATCGATCTAAATTATAAGAAAATGCATTTTCTAGGAAAACTTGACGAGATAGGTGAGAGATGGTATAATACAATTTGATAGACAATTAAATTGTGCATCTGATTCTTAGCAAATATATAGGGTGTTCCATTTAAATTAAACAAGTTATTGCCGTTTAAAGCTAGTAATTATTTAATATAAATTTTTCGACACTCTGTATAAAGTAGTATTATTTTTATTATCGCAGCACAAAATTTAGTAAATAGAAAAACTTCAGTACAATATTTGGTTTTAAAAAGTTAAATAGGCCTAAAGAAATGAAACATTAAAACTGTTAACTGCATTTTCTCAAAATCGTGAATATTTCAAAAACGGTAGGATTATAGTGCGGTAAACCTTTAATCAAATTTACCTTTATTTTAATCGTAGAAACTAAAAATGTAAAAATATACAGGGTGTTCCATTTAAAAAAATACAACTTTGATATTTTTTTTTTATTTGGGACACTCTGTAGCATTAGGAGTCCTCCAATGATATCATCACTCATAATTACTAAACATCAAATCATTTGGCAATGAAGTGAATAACCCTGTATAAATGCATCATCCAGACATATACCATTATAGTATATTTTTATGAGAAATTTAAAAAAATAGTTTCCACTAATATTGAAGTGGCACAAATTTAAAAAAATTCACGAAACTAATAAAATATTCTTTAATAAAACAATTAATGAACTGGTTTAAAAATTTCTAAATTCTTCTAGTGTGCATCAGAAAGAACGTGTTAAATCTGCTAAATTGTGCTAAAGAAATGAAAAGTTTCTGTGTTCAGTAACAATTAGCACGCAAATAGAACATTAAAGGTCTATACTTTCATTTGATATACAGTAAAATTTTCTCGAATGCCCTAAAATATTTAGTTGAAAATTATTGTCTTTGTGTGTCATGGAATTTTTTTAAATATCATTAAGATTGACTTATATAAAACAAACTAAGGATATATCTGAGTTAGTACATATTTTTTTATCAGGACTTATATATTCCCTGTATAAATATATACAGGGAAGCCAAAAAGGAAGAGTAATGATATATAAAACAACTCCAGAATTCCAAAATAAAAAGTAAGACCTTTTTGTGAAAACCTTACTTAAGAAACGACCCTGTATATTGAATACTATCAATAAATAAACATAATATCTAACAGATATATTTATAATAATAAAATAGGATAGTATTTACAGTACACAAATAATTTATTATTTATAATTTTCGTATTCCCAAGGTTTTATTTATTTTAACTTATACAAATAATGTGAACAAAAATTCTTCTAATATTCTACCTCATTCGGCTTGGCTTTGTCTCGTTCAGTATTAAGTTCGAGTTCTTCCAAATTTTGAAGTTGCAAAATTTCAGCTCTTTTTTCTATCTACAACAAACAGCTAATATTAAAACCTTTAAAAGAGCTACATCTATTTTTATACACATATACTAGAAATTTGTTATATCTAGTCTAGAAACAAGAAATAATAATAGATGGCATTACAGACCATATTAGCATTAAATAAATTGTCCTATACCAGGACCAGCTACAGAATTTTTTTGAATTTGGCCTCAAATCTGGTCAAATCTTTGCTGTAAATTTGTTAAAGTCACCTCTGTTTCTTCTACTAAACCCAAAATATATGTCTTGTTAGTGTTCTAGACATTTTTTTGTATTTTATTATTATTTAGTATTTTTTCAAATATTTTTAAAAAAATTCCTTCACCATTTTATCAAGAAAATATATGTCTCGGTGTATTCTTGGGTGTATTCCAGACATTTTTGTAAGTATTATAAAAATGTGTACGTGTCTTGTCTTTATAAATCAGTAAGAGCATTTTTCTTACCTTTACAACATTCCATTTTAGGGCATTGTGCTCCAGTACTTCCAATCATATTCTCGATACAACAAAGATTACTATTTACTTTATATAATGATGAATCAGTCTGCTTTTGAAAACTGTTTAAATTCTCTATTTTTTCCTATAAAAACCTTAACTAGAAATTCAGCATTAGTGTATACAGAATATAATAAAAATACTTTTTCTTGAATCTCAAGTGTTCTTGATTGTTGGATTCTTTAGCTTGTAAACCAAAAAGATTTTTGTTATCTCGAAGATTTTTTCTAGACATTTTTGTAAGTATTATAACTATATGTACGTGTTTTGTCTGCATAAGTCTTTAAGAGTATTTTTCATCCCTTTACAACATTCCATTTTAGGGCATTGTGCTCCAGTATTTCCAATGATATCCTCGATAAAACAAAGATAAAACATTTCACTTGATGTAATGATCAATCAGTATGTTTTTGAAAACTGTTTAAATTCTCTACTTTTTCTTTTAAGAGTCTTAACTAGAAATTCAGCATTAGTATAATAAACACAAGGTATAATAAAAAGCTAGTTTGAATACTTTTTCTTGAACATTGAGTGTTGTCGATATCAACGGTTGGATTCTTAGCTTGTAAACCAAAAAGATTTTAGTTTATCTCAAAGATTGTGTGCATAAATATCAATGATATTTATCTAGATCACCACATCGATTTCACTTTTAAATGTTTTATTTGATTTAAAGTATTTAAACCAATTTAAACGTATTTTAATTTTAAAATTGCTGGACTTGTTTATTTATATTGTTGTCTTTGTCTAACAATTACCCATAGATTAAAATTTTTCACTCCCCTTTTGATTATTTTTTATAGAACACTGCCATATGAAAATAAAGAAGAAGATAATCTATACCAAATCTGTGGTTGCATATGTTTAGGATCATAAATATTGAAAAGAAGAAGAACATTAGTTTGATTCTGTGGTAACTGATCATTTAAGCTCTGAAATACGAAAAAGAAGAAGAATGTTAACAGCGCCCTTGTGGAAAAAGTGAGAAAATTTTGAACTAAAAACTAAAATGGTTGCCAATATTTTTATATTTATGTGAAGATCTAAATTAAATCTTATTTTTGTAAGTATAAAACGAATCGAATCGTTACAAAATCATGATAAACATATAATACACCCTCTATTTCAAAAGAATAAATATTTTCTTTTAGGCGCAGCATTATTTATGCAGCAAAACATGATCATGACAGGGCGACATTTTCCGTTGTTGGAAGTTTCTTTACAATTTTTCCAGTTTTTTTGGTAGAAAAAGTGTTTTTTTGTACATTATTTGAGCTTATTCTGTTCCTTAAAACCTGCATAATCTCATGAAAATGTAAGTACTCATTATTTTGCTTGTTTTTAACACCTTTTTTCACTTTGAAATATTTCAATTACATCATCGTTTAAAGCTTATACATCTTTCCAATTTTCCTCATTTTCTTTTTCAATATCGAGTGTATGGAAATATAGATACTGTCTTTTTTTTCCAAGCGTAATTTTTTAGGTGTTTATTTGTACAGGAAAACAAGTTATTTTTTACGTCTTTTAAAATAAAAGTCAGTGTTATATACCTAAAGGGGCCCACCATTTTCAACAGTTATATAATTGTTTCAGATAAAATCAAAGGTTTTAGCATTTTTACTATACACTGTCATCATATATCTTAGTTTATACAAATTTGCACTGTTTTAATAATAATAATTTTTTTAGGTAAAGGCAGAGATAACGGAGATAAGTACTACCATGATGAGTTCTTATAGAATAATACACACGTCAATGGGAGATAGAGGTTTTTTACCTTTTTTTATGGGTTTTTTGAAATTTTAGCTACTTTGATTATGTTTGTATTATAATTTCTTAAAAATATCAAGTTAGTGGATGAATAGCAATTTTAGACATATATTTTATCGAAGAGTGAAGAGTGTTGATAAGACTAAAATAAGCTTTATATTTTATCTTTTTCTCTTTATAAGGGAGCTGGTTTGTGTCGTAAAATACATTACAGTATTTAATATCGTGTACTTTGATATTCTTTTCGTAATTTACTGTAATTTCTTGTTTCCTATAATGCCAAATCTTGACAATATGATGAAGGTTGAGTTTTGATCTTATTAGTTTTATATCTGTGTTTACTAGACTAACTTAAGACGTGAGTTTGTGATTTATATTAAGATCTTTCTTAACATTAATTATGTCCTAATCTTAATACTATATTATGCTTTGTCTGGAAAATAAATGTTAGAATATATTAATCTTGCATATCCTTCCATCCTTCTATTAGGAAAAATATGGTTTATAAATCATATATGCTAAAAAAATGGCATAAATTAGGTGTAAGAATAGAAAAATCTTAACAAGGTAACTGTCAATGTTGTTGAAGCTGATTCTACAGTTTTAATTACGGAGGCTAAAAAGCCATTTAAAGGCCTCTGTAGTTTTAATGGAATATTAAGAAAAACCTATTATGAACATGATATGGAGCTACAGCTTTTAAAAATTAAAAAAAGAAGAAACTTGGACACATCCCTTTTAATTTACCGAATTTTTAATAAAGCACTTTTTAAACGTAGCATAATAACACAAATAATCTAAGCAATTAGATTAATTGTAGGAATCTAGAGTTTTATTTCTATTTAATTTTATTGACTATGAAAATACATAATAAGCGTTCACGTGTTGTGCGAAATATTAAAATAATAATATAAATAATACCGTACTATATGATCGAAAAAAAATAGCGTCAGCGATGACTATAAAATGAAGATCGCTGTCATTTTATGGCAAATGTACTCGATCGTCATTTCCCAGCCAACTGGACGCCGTTTTTTCGATCATAATTTGTACTTATTAATATATTTTTTCTTGTAAATAAAGGATTTTTCAGCTTAATTAAATTTCAAATTTGAAAATTGTGGCGCCAAAAGTTGAACAGATACATCCGGTAAGAGCTGTGAACATTGAGTCAAGTTAAAGACTTTTGAAGTTATTTTTTTATATATTTTATCTCATATTTCTTACTATTTAACTATATAGAATTAGTTTCTTATTAAACTAAGGGATATTTATTGAATAAAAACACTTGTTTCTTAATAATTTATTAAGATATTAAAGAAATGCATGATTTTATATTTTATAGTTCATCTAATTTATGTGCGTACCAGATAATTTCAATATAAAATAAGTTTTGTATGATATTTTATACTGGAGGGAATAAATACAAATAAAGACAAATCATTTAATTAATTTAAGAAGCATCTGTGGAAGCATATTCTACTAAAATTTTAACAAAAACCATCCATGTCTATTAAAAAAAGTTAAAATCGAGGCATCCAAGAGCAAAAAATACTCGATCGTAATTGGTCAGTTTCGGTTGCGTGCAGGTTTTGAATTTTATACCCGTTCAATGTTGCCGGATTGTTAAAAAATGTCGAAAATCTTTTTCTCTATGTGATTTTCGTGAAATTATATTAGTTTAAATTAATCACTGGCACTATAGTGAGGGTCATTTCTATATTTATATTTTTAGTAAAACAAGTACCAGTGATGTTGTTTTGTAGAAATTTCTTTACGTACTAACTGTGGTACTAACATTATAGTCTTTATTCTTGGTTTTGATGTATTTATAGCATTAAAAATGTACTTAAACAACTTCATTCTATGTTTATTTTTTGATTTTTGTGTGTTTATGTTTATAATTACTTATTTGTTTCTTATTTATGATAATAAATATTTTGCGTTACGAAAAAAAACGATTTCAGTGGAACGTATATTGAGTAAATAATAAGTTTTGAGAACAAAATTAAACTTAATTTACAAGAATTTCCCTATAAACAATTTTATTAGTAATAAATAAATTAATTTTATGAGCAGCTTAAATTTTAGGAATGACTTCAATTTGGCAACGCCGGTTCTGCTTTGGTCGTTTGCAATTGAAGGATTCGGACGTCCTCCCGTCGGTTGCATCGATTTTTTAAATTTTCTGACGAAAAAGTGCATTTAGTGTACACAATTTATGCGTAATCTGTTACTAGTGCCCTGCTTAGCCTCCTGAAAAAGTGAGTACCCGTAGTTTTATGTATTTTTTGAGATATTTTAGTTCAAAATTTTTGGATTTCGCAATATCCATCATGGCAGCCTTCTTCTGAAATGTTCCCCATTAAGTTATTAATTTTTAAGAATATTGTTTAAATAATATACGTAGATTAATAAATAAGTATGTAAAACTAAGGGTAAAATAATAGTACTAATAGTACTACATTTTTGGTAAATTACGTAATATATCTTTGACTTTTTGTTTAATTTTTTCGGTCAAGGAATGTTTAAATAAAATGGCCGCCTGTTGGATTTCGATGTCTTGATTTTTTGTAAATTGCTATTTTTAATTTAAATTTCTTTTTATAGGGCATACTTAGAGTTTTCGTTATTTTTTAAAAATATAATATATCTTTTTTCATTTAAAATAAATATACCTATTTATATATTATCGTAATATTTTTATAGGTGTTCGATAATATTTTTATAGGTATCCCAATATTTTTTTCTTTTTTTAGGCGCGTTATATTAATACTACAACACTACACACTCCTGTCCCACTCACACGAGCATTGCTAGCTCTCTGTGTTGGTTAATAAAATTTCCTAATTCAACATTAGTGAATTTCGTTAGCTGATGCAGTTGGTTAACAGTGTTTTTGTCGGTGTGGATTCCCGAGCTTAAGATGACTCCAGAGCGCGGCGCGGCCTTCCCCAAGAGAGGAGACTTCTTGGGTCACACCCTAACCCTGATGTTCGGGCATCGATGACCTGTGTAGCATGCAGAGGTACCCAAGGGAGTCACCACCCTCTGGTTTACGAGCTAGGTGTTCTAATGCTAGAGGCTTCGGCCGGATACAACCTGGCACCCAAGCTCCGAGATTTCTTCGTGCACGTATTCCGTGACCCTCGAAGAGGCAGGGGGCGGGATATCGGACACATTGAAGATGATGAGGGGTCCGCCTGTAGGGGGTCCCGGTGGATGTCCGTCCGACGGGTGACGAGGGTGACCCCAGACGAGGCGGCTTAATTGGGATGGGAACTGACTGGTGAGGCTTAATCGTCGACCAATGGGTCGAATCTGCATAAGGAAGGCAACCAGCACACACTCGCAGGCGGGTCATGGAAACATTTTTTTGTTTTTTCTCTTGGTCTGCCCCGCGTCGAATTTTGAAGGCAGAAAATGTCGGGAGGAGGCGAGCATAACCAGGCCTAACTTAAACCTGTTAAAAGTAAGTCTAATTTTTTTATATTACATTAAATTGTAAACTTTTACTGTACTCTCTACCAAATAACTTTTCTATCACACCATGTAGCAATCAAAATTCTTTTTATATAAAGTGTTGTATATTTTAGTTTATTAAACAACATACATGAGCTTCAATTTAAAGTAGAATAACTTGTATAGTAAATACAACAACTTTTTTAAAACTTATAGTAGATATAAGTTTAAATTTTTATTTAACTTGTAGTTACTTATATAACTATTTTTTTTTTTCATTTTTTTAGGACAACCCGGGTTCGCAGCGCGATTTTAAAAAACAAGACTGAAGAAGTCAGAAATTCTATCTACATGCTGCATATGATCAGTCCCAAAAAATTTCGGATTGTTCCAGGCACCGTCGAATACCTGGAAAACGTGTTTATTGTCAACTCTACAGGATCGACCGAAGTCCATGGAGTTGGGGGCATTCGATGTGCCCCATAGCAGTGAGACGCCACTGTTTTTTTCGCCGTATAATTATTATGGTGGGACTCAAAATGAACTTAAGCAAGATGTGATGGTGAGTTTTTATATTTTTACATTGTTTTTTTTTTGTTGTGAAGCATAACTGTTGAACAGCATATATATTTGTTAGAAATATTCTAATATTATTTTTTTTCTCTTACAGGTGATACAGTATGGCTTGAAGAACTTCAAAAGTCGGTTCGCGTCGTGGTTCCAAAGCAGTAACTTTAGGTTCCCTACATTTACTTGCATTAAGTACTCATTTTTTAATGTGCAATTTTTACATTTCATTTTTACTTTTTTCTTACTCTATACAAGGCTTTAATATAAAGTTTTTTAGCAAAAATAAATGGGTAATAAAAAAATAACTCCAAGAGACAAAATTAGGTAGCATATTGTTTTTCTATTATATTTGGAAATAACTATTTTTCGTCTTATTTTAAAATTGATATTATTTAATTTTTTTTAATAGTCATTTTTAATTAAAGGTAAATTAGTAAATAATGTAATTTTACATTATAATGAGAATTAAAGTATTAGTAATTTATTTTTGTTACTAAAATTAAATTCAGTTTGTTCCTGTATAAATCTTTTTAGTACTAAACTGCTTTGGAATGAATTTTTCTGGGGGACAACAGCAGGATTAGAGCCATCCTCTAGATGCCATCAGGTAAATTTATATAACTTTATATTTATCATTTTCTTTGACTAAAAAAAGTGTTTTTCTTTTTTTAGGTAGGTGCGCTAGCGTAGTCGTTTGTTGTAGCATTATATCCCTTTCCCCCTTTTTAAAAAATGTTTGTAAGACGCCTGAAATTTGTATAAGTTAGTTATATAAGTAGTTGAATAAGAATTGGTGAGACATGGAAAATAGAAGAGGACAGAGAAGATGGAAGAGGATTGCTTTGAAATAGAACTAAAGGAGATAGAAGATGTTTGAGGAAAGGAGGAGGATTTTGTTCCCTGTAACGGAAGTTTTTTGAATGAAATTTGGAGCAACTGTATTAAGGTAATTTTTTTCATCTAGTTACAAAAAATAAATACTTATCACAACTTTTATTTTTTTATAGATGTTATTGGTATCTTGGACGTCAAGTTTCATTTATTTATGTATTATACAAGCATATCTATTGGTGGAAATGTAGAATGGCAGCTGTTATAACAACTTGGATGGATTATTAGAAACACCAAAGAAGTTTTGGCATAATTTAAACTGGGAAAAGGCTCACAGATGACCAATTTATTCTACAGTAGATACAGGACATTAAATTGACTTCACCAACGCAGATATCTCTCAAAAATGGTAAGTTTTTTTCACATTATTTTCTTTCTTATTAAAGTTTTTGGAAAGCGTGGAAGTTATGACATATTTTACACATATAATATGTATATTTCAATAACTTTAGGTGCAATATTTAATTTTAAATTTATTAGGAGAATTTTTTCATTCAAATCAACTTAATTTTGTATTTTGCCTATCTATATTGATATTACAATGTTTTCTTATTTATTTTAATTTTCTACATTGATACAAATTAATATACTTATTAATATTTGTTTATTATTAGATATCTGTTCGAGTGATGTACTGGGCGTTAACAGTTGCTGTTACAAATCTGCAAATGAGTTACTACTGTACATAAGTTGGAGGAATGCCAAGGAATTTTTTGAATAAAATGATACTGAAAATCTTACCCACCAATGACAATTTTAAGATACAATCAATAGTATTTGGATTGATTGGCCTTCATTACTGTTGCGCTATGAAAATGGTAAGTTATTTTTATTTTTAAGGTTACAATTTATGTATTTAACTACAAAATTGTAGGCTGCAAATTCAAAATAAAATAAGTTTGAGATTGAAAATATATTAATATATTTTTTTTCACACTTTGTAGTTATTTACAAATTTGTATCAGACAATTTTAATTTTATTTAGTATGTTTTCTTTTTGTAAAAATCTATGAATATTTGAAATATTTTAAAGAGTTACTATTGCGTTTATTTTTTTAATATCTATCTAACGTAAAAAAATAAAAAAAAAAAACAAAAAGTAAACACATAAAAAAAACAAAAATTTTTATTCCAAAATGTGTGAAGAAACCGACTATAAAAATTTACTTATTTGTTTTTTGTATTTTCAGTAAGCAACACAAATTGGTATTAATGGACGTTTTGACAGCTGTTTCCAGTCCAAGTTCCAGTTTTAAAGGAAAAAATTTAATGGACACAGAAAAATGCCATTTACTGGATTGACTTCAACACCTGTTGCCTTTTAATAATGGTAAGTTATGCCTCTCAACTTATTCTTATAAAATTTAAAAATCTTATAAAAATATTAAATTTTCCATCGTATTTAAGCTCTTTTGGTCCAATATTGCTCTATTTTTTTCTGTTTTTTTAACTAAAACAATAATAAAATGGATTATTAAAGGCAGGACAAAATAAAATACAGACACTGTATTACTGGTTGCATATAGCGATCTTGGAAAAAATGCAGTTTTTAAATCTGGCTTTAATAATTATTAAAGTTTCCAATAAGATAGGCACAATAAAATTACGGTATGGTAAATATAAGTTGATTTTTTTTATTTTGATATTTTTAGTACAGCAGATACCTTATTTATATTTTTTTCGATCGTTAAAACCGCAAATATTATATAAAAATTATAATTATTTTTATTAGAGTCTATTTAAGATCTTTATTGTTTGTGATTTATTTAAATTGGTATAATAGCCGTATATTTATGATTTTACGTAGTTCTAAATAAGTTCTAAATATTAATATATTTTTTTTTCGTTTTTAAAAATCTTTAAAAATTGATTCGTTAAAAAATTACTTAATACTTTTTTTTGAATTTTAGGTATACAATGGGACAATCGCTGTTAGAAGTCAACAAGTAGTACTAATTGCAAATAATATATTATGGCGGACATCAAAAAGCTTTAAATGGAATGAAACTTGCAGAAAAAGACTCAGAAAGACCATTTAGGGCGCAGAAAAAGACTCAGAAAGACCATTTAGAACTGTACTTAACAGCTGTTAGAGTGGATGCAGTCCTTCATCAATGGTAAGTTATTTCAGGCGTCTCTAAATGCAAAACCTGACAAGTCCATTGAAATCAATTTTACAAAATACACTAAAAATTATTTAAAACGTTATGAATAGTAGAAAGAATAATAAATCTACCTGACTGAATTTATCTGGTGTATTATTTCTTGAAAATATCTTTAACAAAAATAATTCTAAATAACGAATTAAATGGTCTATAGATCTCAATTTTCCAAAATAGGTCACTTGTCGGGTTTTGCATTTAGACGTCTCATTTATTTATTTTATTTTTTTTATTAAATTTCTTTGACAAGGTTGAAAATTATGATAAATTTAGTATGAACAAACTGACGTCATAATTTTTGTTATTACCTATTTAAATTTTTTATATTTTAATTTTTTTTTGTGCTTTTAGTGAGCTGAAGAAATTGATAACGGATTTTGACAGCTACTGTCACAACTCAACGAACAAGTTGCAGCTTTGAAGGAACATATTTGATTGGATACAGAACAATGTCAGTCGTTTCAGGATGTAAAGTTAATAGAACCAGGGTTGGGCTCGACATCTCTTACCGTTTAATAATGGTAAGTTATTTTGATCATTTTATATACAGAGATTTTCATAGAACTGGTTCATTAAAAGTTTTTCACGGTATATATTTTTCTGAGTCCTGTAACTAGTTTAATTTGGACTAAATTTCGTTTTAAAACACTTTTAATGGACTAGTTACGTGAAATACCCTGTATATATTGTCATAAAGTGACATTGATGAGCTTGAAAATTTTGTAAAATGATTAAATTTTGCAGAATATTCATACTCCGCAGTTTGTACAGTTAGCATTTTATTTTGGCCCTAAATTTTAACAGGTTTTAACTTTTTTTTATTTTAGAAGCTAGAACATTCATTGAAAAAAAAAGAAATTATAAAGTTTTATTTCAAGTTTTAATGTGTATTTTTTTAAATGGGAGACCCTATACATTAAAAATATATTAGATGGCACATTTTTTAATTTCTGAAAGACATTCCTGCCCTTTCTTTGTAATAGTTTTATCAAAATTTAATAAAAAATACACCAAAATTATTATGTTTATTTCTTTTTTTTTTAATTTATTCACTTTTTTACTCATTTCACTTAAAAATATACAGTTTTACCAATAACTGGGTGATACTTGAGAGTGTATGACATTTATAATAATAAAACCGTATTAAAACTTGACTGGAAAACTAATATAATTGTTTTTTTTAATTAATATTAGAGCTCAAAAAATTAAAAACATATGGCCAGTTAAAGTGGAAAAAAATACAATGCTAACAGTGTTTTACTGGTTGCATATCTTTAAATTTATTTCAAAATTATTAAAGTTATCACCAAAATAACGCAATAAATTTACGAGTTATTACTAAATATTAATTTTTTCTTTTTCTATATATCTAGTAAATTAGATATTTTATTTTTAGTTAACTCATTATAATAGTGCTTTATTTTCTTATCAAGGAATTTTACAATTTTTTGTATCATTTCTGAAGTTATCAATAATTTTTTTTTTTTTAATTTTATATAACTATTACATAAAATGTCTATTATTTGTTTGTTATGTTACATAGTTGTAAATATTAACATAATTTATGTTATTGTCTGTTTTCTGATAGCTTCAAAAATTGCTATAATAAAAAATTACCTAATATTTTTTTTTTTATTTAGGCATACGATAGGACAATTGCTATTAGAAACCGATAAGCCAAACTAGCTGCAAATAATATGTATGGTGGTTATAAAAGAGATTTAAATGGAATGAAACTTGTGCAGAAGAAATTGGTCTGCTGTTACTTAATAGCTGTTAGAGCGGATCCAGTTCTTCATCAATGGTAAGTTATTTATATATTTTATATAAAATTTCATTGGACAGCTTGAAAATGTTTAAAATTTTCTAATATTCAAGCGCTTTTCCAATATTAGAACGGCCAACAACTATAAAAAATAGGCAAGATAAAATAAAATGCTGATACTGTATTACTGGTTGCATATAGTTAGGGTTTACGGGGGTCCGCTAATTTAAACTCACGATAAAATCATAAAATACTTACCGGATTTATTTCCTCACAATTTTTATACTGATTACAACACACAATTAACTATTAAAAAAAATCCTTCGCCAAATTGTCAACATTTCAAAACTGTTTGGTTTAAAATTGCAGAACTCGTCACACACACCTTGACGATATATATTAAAGTTCCCACTAGAATAAACGCCATAAATATATATTTTAATAAATATAATTTTGGTTAATCTTTTTTATTTTTGTTTTTTTCTTCCAAAAATCTTCCAAAATTGTGTAGTAAAAATTTACTTAATATTTTTTTGGAATTTTAGGTATAAGATGGGATAATTGCTGTTAAAAATCCACAAGCTGTACCATCTGCAAATATTATGGTGGACATCAAAAAGCTTTAAATGGAATGAAATTTGCAGGGAAAGACTCAGAAAGACCATTGAGGACTGTACTTAATAGCTGTTAGTGTGGTCGCAGTCCTTCATCACTGGTAAGTTATTTATCTCTTTTTTTTTCTTATTAAATTTCATCCACAAGCTTGAAAATTATGATAAGTTTTTATAATATGTTGTCATTTATTACAAATTGATATAAAAATTTGTCAAAAATAACATTTAAATGAAAAAAAGGAAAAAGGTTTCAAACATACCGATTATTATACAAAGGTGAAAACCTTAATTTAAAAAAATATGAACTTTGAATTTTTTTAACATTTCATTCTTTAATTTTTTATACATTTTTATACCAATTTTTTACAAATGATATATTGCGGTCTACCTCTCAGAAATAATTGTCATTAATTGTTATTTTAAAAGCCACTATGATGCTGTTTTTTTTCTCATAGGGTATATACAAATAACTATTAATTTAAAAAACATAGTTATTGCGTTAATAAAAATATATTTATTTTAATTTTTACATAGTTCGTTTTATTCTTTTTTTTTAATATTATTTTTATTTTATTTTTTAGATATCTCTGCATTTTCTTAACAATGGATATCCCAACAGTTGCTCCTACTCTTCGCTTTCCTCTTTCACTCAACATAAAGCAGACTCAATACTCCTCAATGCCTCACCAAGGTTCGTTAGCTTCATTAATAGTGTTATTGTTTCAATAAATTTGTTTACTGGTTTTTATCCTCTTCTTAACTATTTAAGTATATCAGGCGTCATATTAGTGTTATTGATTTTTTGTAAAATTTTGATAATCTGGATAAAAATCTTTTTTTTTTCTTAAGATTTTGTAAACTAAAACACTAGTTAAGAACAATTCACTTTATTTTATGAATAGGACCATTATTTCTGTTTATATTGTCTTTATATTTATTTATTTTGATGCTCTATTAATTATCTAATCGCCTCTAGTTTGAGGCGTGTTTGATTAATTTTAAATCATTAAAATCTATGCATTAATCTTTATGAAAAATATGTTGAGCAATATTATAGTAATCTGTTATAATTTCTCTTAAGCTTTTTATCAATCTCATTTATCTTTTATTTTTGCATTCATTAAAGGTCATTAGATATTGTAATTATTAATTAAATTGTTAGTTGTATTATAACATAATATTTTTTTAATAGAATTAAAGAGATTCTTTATAAATTTGTATCATTACCAATTATTTATAGTAGTAGTTTTTTAATTATTTTTAATTAATTACTCCAAATTTATTCCAGATTATCAAAATTATAAATGTTATGCTTGCGCAGCTGCGTCACTATAGCCCTATGAACACAAGTATTATTTTAGTTCTAAAGTTTATATTGTTTAATATTTAATTTATTTTATTAACACAAACTAAATGTTATGGAATTTATCTAACTATATCTACGATCAGATGATAATTTAATAGTTTAATGGTCGATTTAATCATTTTTTATAAGTTCTGGATTGATTATTTTTAGTAAAATAATCCATTTTGTTAATACTTGTGTTCATATAGTTTTTTTTTGCTTTTGTGAATTATTTTTGGTACCCTAGGACAGGGGCGTGACCCTAGGACAGGATAGGGTGGTAAAGGGAATAATTACCCCTCCCAGAAAGAAATTTATAAATGAAATAAAAATAATTGCAATTCCAAGTTTATTTTTTTCCCACAATTACTAAAAAATTTTTTAGCAAAAATTTCATTAAAATCTACTAGTTTACTTAAATATTGCAATTATTCCTCCCAGATCCAGTCTGTAGATGCGCCACTGGCCTAGGGACAGATGTTTTTTCATGACTGATCAATTTTTATCATTATAAAATATATTTTTTTTTCAAACGTCACAAAGTATTAATTTTTGCGACGTGATTGACAATATAAAAAAATATTTTAATGCCTAGGCATAAAAATACGAAAAAATATATTATTAAACTGACATTAAGTGTCAAATTTAACTAGCGTAATCATAGTTTCTCGATATATAATTACTTACTTTTAAATGTTTTTATTTTATTTGCGTCGTTCTTTGTGTTTAAATCATTGCATCAATTATTTGTGACGTTTGAAAAAAATAGTATGTTCTATTCGGAGTAAAAATGACTTTTTGTGCCTCGCCTGTAACGTCGAACGTACAGCGTCGCCACAAAAAGTATAATTTTTACTCCTAATTCGATATACCTACTATTTTGCATTGTTTTATGTCATGTGTAATAGTCTATCCAACGAGAGGATCCCTGACAGTGACAGTTGTGTTTGTCATTTTAATTAACAGGTAAATTGTATTTGCTGTCATTTTTAAGGATATCTTCTGTCAAAGTCTTCTTCGGCTCGTTGAACAGACTATATAACGTAAGCCATTTTGTATGTATTTGTAATAATAATAATGTAATAATTGTAATACAGCGAAATGGAACAAATTCGATAATAAATAAATAGGAATAATATGTCGTAAAAACGCTTGCACACGTGGACTGACATTTTTAGTTGCGCATTTCATTCAACAAAGACTTTTGTACAGGGTGTGTCACGAAACAGTCGCTAATACCGATTTTTATTGTATATTCTAAAATCTAGCGCATCTGTCATAACATAATACAAATTAACTTGACAACTTTATTTTATTTTTTACATGCCTATAACATTGCTGTTTGTCCTAATCTTTTTGGTCAAGTTTTAATTTTAAATTAGCAAAAGCTCTCAATTGTTACAGTTATTGGTATAAACATGTTTAATGTTTAAATAACACACCCTGTATATTAGGAGTGTATTAAATAGCGCATTTTTTTCTGATTTTAAAGATTGTCACACATGGTTTTTAATTTTAACAGTGCAAAAATGTTGTAAGTTGTCAATTTTTTTAATGTTATTGGTATGAAATGTATGTTTTTAAAACGGGACACCCTGTATACTAAAATAAATATACATTTTTTATATCAAAAATATATTACACATTCTTTTATTTTTTACAGACAGTTAGTTGTTTAGTTGAATATTTCATATTGTATCTAACTAAATATATTCCAGGGTAGCCTAGCGCATTCGCCATAATATAAAATGAGCGAAACTAATTTATTTTAACCAGTTATTTTTTTAAATAATATTTATTATCGCATTTATTTCATATTCACTCTTCTTACCTGAAGTTTTGTAGTTAACTAACTAGAAGTACATGGGGCACCATCTGTTTATTATAACATCTTTTTTAATATTTTGTGTGATATTTTAACTTAAAAACTTTGTGTTTGACGTTAAAGTTATTTGGAAACGCTTCTTAAATATAAAGTCGGATAAAAATTCAATCATTATTTTTTTTGGAATATTTCATTTTGTTGATTTACCGTTAATTATTTAAATATTATAATCATTCTTATTTCAGTTTAGAGTAATTTTTTCGCTAATACAGGTACTTAATATTTTTAGCTGATTATTACTATTGAAACTTACCTTGTTTCTTAATACAAAATTTAGATCGGCGTAAAATATTGAAAATTGCCTCATTAGAATAACAATAAAAAAAACAGAGTTAATAAAAAATATTTATTTTTTTATTTTTTCATCTATTAATAAAGTACAGTATAAATAATATCAAATTATATTTTGTTAATAAATATATGGATGCTACATGTACATCTAATTGTTGTTTTCCAGTTGTTTCTAATTGTTCTGTATTTATGTAAAACTTAACTGTCGCATTTTTCTTAATATTACAATTTGCTTTTATATGTAATATAATCAATATAAGGTGTTTTTTTTCAGTACAAATATTTAATTTGCAGAGTAAGGTAAATGTTAAATTATGATATTATTGGTTTTGTTGCTTTAATTTTTAGATGTTTTTGATTGTGCTAATTAAAGAAAAAAAGATAAAACACTCCTCAATTTGATTGAATACACCTAATATTGATTATAAATATTATTGTGTCCTATTTGCTGTGGTTATCACACTTTTAATTTTTTTTCGGGTTTTTGTAAGTTAAGATGATTTGTTGGTTGCCTATATTTTCTAAAAAATATTTTTAAAACCAACAACTATCAGTTGCATATTATAATTTTTTTTCTTTAATTAAATAATTGTAATATTTTTTTTTAATTTTATATGATAATTTACAATATATACTATATACAGGGTGATCCAGTATACTGAAAAATCTTCAAATCAAGTTAACATCTTTTTCCTCATTCTTTCTTGCAAACTGTTTTTATTACACGGTGATTCTACTATAATTTTACACTTAATGTTGCAGTTTTTTAAATGGGAAGGTTTATATTTTGTTTGCTCTGTAGATTTACTATAGAAATTTTCAAATTTTAAATAACATCACTATTATTTTGTTTTTCAAATTGAAGTATATAGTGTCTTTTTCAAAACTATATGTATTTATTTTATTTAGAAAATTGGACAATACAAGTTTTAAAAATGTCTGAAAATCTATGTCGTGCTTCTATATCAAATCTAATTGAAGTCAAAAATAATTTTTAACTTTATTATCCAACCTTATCCAACGATATAAAGTCTAAAAAATAACTCAGTTTAAATTAATAGTAAAATCTTAAACAAAAATGGTACAAAAAGTATGAGCTCTATAAATTATTATAGATATTTTTTTTTAGTTTTAAGGGAAAACTACAACAACATTAGTGCAAAAATATTTTTGTATCACCCTGTACATGTGTAAAAATATTTTCAACATGTGCGCTACCATTGGCCACATTTGTAAAATAAATTGGGGTGAAAATCGCGAACAGAAAAATTTATATTAGGTCTTTTTAATATACCGGGTCGCCCTGTATTTCGATATAGGCTTTTTGTCTAATTGGCATAGACCTATGGCATAGACAGTGTTGATAACCACAGTAAAAAATATACAGGGTCCTGCAACAAAGCGTCTTAAGTTAATTTTAAGTGCAGACCATAAACGTGCACTAGGTTGAAATTTCAGGAAATTATGTTCAGTTGTATAGGGTGTCTGAAAAAAATGTGGATGTATTAAATGGCCCTCTTTTACACGTTTTTAAGTTTTTACACTAAACTTGTTTTGATAGTTCAAGAGAAATAAGTACATAAAATATAGATGCAGGTTTTTCAGAGACATTTAGTGCGATAAAAAATTAAGTTATACAATTAAGTTATACAATTTTTTGGAATAATTCTGATCGTCTTTTGTTTATTTTTATTTCACTCTCTGGCGATTTAGGTAAAACCTTACATGTCCTACATTTATAGTTTTCTTCTACCTTCAATAGGGAAACTTGCTGGTATCGCACTAAATATTTCTGAAAACTCTGTACATATACCGTATGATAAAAAAAACGGCGTCCAGTTGGCTGGGAAATGAACATCGATATTTCCCATATAATTAACAAAACGCGGTTTTTTTTCGATCATATTGTATTTTGCAGCCATTTTCTAAAAAAATTAAAAATACAAGGCTTGAAATAGAAACAATGCTTGGTATTTAATACAGGTGGTCTGTACTAACGATTATAAATGTTATAACTATACAGGGTGCTCAACGTTTAATATGAAGGTGGTTAAAAACATACAGTAATTTTTCTTGGATTTTTTTAACAGGGCAAAAAACTATTAGGTGAAAAAGTCGTGTCAATATTTCAGTGCGTTCCTTTTAAAAAATAAGAAATTTTAGCAAGTTCGGCATCGAATTTTGAACCCCCTGTACAATGTACGATTACGATATGCATGATAAAGTTAGTGTGAACCAACTGTAAACACTGAGTATAGTTTTAACTTCAAGGCGTCAATTTGTAGGTTTTTAGTTATTTTTTAA